GCTCTTAAGTCATCTGACTTCACTGTTCTCCCTTATTGACTCCGTTCTGCGGTCACATAGAGCCCCTGGAGCTCACTTTGAGTATACTGTCTCCTTAATCGTCATTTACTTTATAGCCCTTTATATAGCTAGGCCTACATAGATTTACATAGTAAATCTGAAATAGGTTAAAGAGGAAAAAAAAAAAAAAAAAAAAAAAAAAAAAAAAAAAAAAAAAAAAAAAAAAAAAAAAAAAAAAAAAAAAAAAAAAAAAAAAAAAAAAAAAAAAAAAAAAAAAAAAAAAAAAAAAAAAAAAAAAAAAAAAAAAAAAAAAAAAAAAAAAAAAAAAAAAAAAAAAAAAAAAAAAAAAAAAAAAAAAAAAAAAAAAAAAAAAAAAAAAAAAAAAAAAAAGTAATTAATTATAGAAGAACTTTATAGCTTATTGTTGACCTTCTGAGAGGGCTAATTGGCCGCGTTTAATATGCGTAATCCCTGCGTTTCTGCTGCTTCTAATTGGTCAATTTCCGACGCAATTTCGCTTCTAATTTCGCTGTACGGTACAGCCAATTGTACATAGATCTACGCTCTCTACCCCCGTAGCTATCAATCAACTTGCTTCTCGACGCACTCTGCACAGCAGGTTGACACTTATTAACTATAGGAACGTCACATATAGCGCCCTTTATAGTACTATATTCTTGATATCTGTGCGGTTAATAGTTACCTAATCTAAAAGGAGGGTATTATAAATATTTCTGAAAGAGGCGTTATAACAGATACTTCTAAAAGAGGACAACGCCCCTTTCAGAAAGCGCTCATTAACGCCCTACTCAAAACACCCTATTCAGAGCCTACTAGAAGTAGAAGAGAGTACAAGTTCCCTCTACCAAATCGAGATACGCATGATCATCATTGGCAAGCATTTCCGAAGCGAGGACTCTATATATAGTGTCGAAAAGGTGCTCAGGAGTCAAAATCGAAGAATATTGATACAAGGAGGCCGATTTTGGCCGAAATCGTCAATTCTAATGCTTCTTCGTGTTCAATGAGGTCATACAGAGGCTATATAGCATGTAACGTACATCTCTGCGTTAAAGGAGCCTGCTTTAAGCAGTATCATAGTCAATAATAACCCAAATAACTGCTTGCTGTTGCTTTCTACTCAATTTTGGTAGTGCCAAGATATTTTGGCGCTAAAAAGGCACATTTAATCGACGGCGCATGGGATACACTCTTAATGGTTAACGTGCTAGAGGGTGTCGATTCAAGACAGTAATTTGCAAAGCAGTACGCGTGGACGAGTTCATGATGGTGTTTTAGACATACACTGGCGAGAATGGGCTCCTCTCAGGCAATCCTACAGAGACGAGGCTCTGTTGGCGAATTTCGATAAGCTGCCCCAGCTCATAAACTTCTGGAAAAAGAAGACCCAGGAACAGGACGCAAGGCTACCTCAAGGGGAAGTCGCAAGCATCAAGCACACAGAAGCAGCAGCTCTACCATCGAATCGACGTCTCACTACATGCAGAAATCCAATACCAATCAGCCAAACATGGAGAAGGAATCAGTGGCTCAATACCAACTAGAGGAGGACGAATCAAACGCCAAGGTACGTAAACCACCTATACTCCACTTCCCCAGAGAAGATAAGGCCATGTCCTTCGAACTGCGGGCAGGGAACCAAGCCAGAAGGCCCAAGCCAGAGGTTAAGCAGCAAATGACAGAGGAAAGCCGAAAAATAAAGGACGACCAAGAATTCGAAACCTCCACCGAGCAACAAGAAACCAAGCTAAAGACTGGTGATCATGAGACTCACGAAACTCGCACATCGGTACATCACCACTAATTGCGAGACTCAAGAGCATTGAATCCTACTGCCCGCCCGTTTACGATTACGGTGGATTTAGTAAACCTAGTCCATGATAGCACGTCATGTCCAAAACCCCGTACGACCTGACAACAACACATCTTCCAGAGTTATGGGCTACTCTGCTTCCTTCGACTCTAGTGAACATTTACGGGTGGAGATACCTAAATCACAGTATTCTCTTTACTGTGGTGAGCAAACCCGGTAAGAGGCGCTCCCTTACTCGGGAAACTTTGCTGCGGATAACCGAAGTAAGCCCAAGCAGCGCTCTCGCACCAGATGCCAGGGCAGACAGGTCTCTCATCAGGCACAAAATTATGGAAGTGTAAAATTGTCTTCGCCATTCACACTGCCAACAAGAATGCCTGCGAGTACGGAGGTCTCGTTACCGTACCACGAACGCAGATAGCTAGGTGGTACGTCGCTCAGGTCATGACATGGATCGAGCGCCCTCTCTGCAGAGCCGCATGCTTAAAGCAGAGAAAGAACAAGTCGAATCGTCAGAAGCGGGATCTTCCATCCCGAGCCCGGGCATGAATTTTCTTGGGGAAGTGATAGAACCAGAGCCTTTGAACATTCAAGCTTCTCCTCGCCGAGTAGACCACCCTCACTCCTCAGGAGATGGCTCGAGGAAATGTTCGACTCCACCGTCAAGTACGTCAGCAACAAGGCCATTGAACATATCTCCCAACTATAGTGATCGCACCTTGTCCTCGACGGCGGGCAAATAGATGAGACGGTGACCAGCCTCCGGCTCTACAACTATGTAGCGAAACCAGTGACGCAGCGGTTTATCGTATGCAGGGCTCCAGCTCACATAGAGGAAACTATTGAAGCACATACACAGTACCACGCGATCGGTTCCTCTCCTCCTGCGCACCCCCCAGCATCGTATATTAGATGGAAATGGGCGAAAGCGTTCATGCCCACCTTCCAAGTGAATCTATCAGCCCTTCCATTGACGCGGATCCACAGCAGAATACTATGACAAACGCGGTAAGCATAAAACCGCAGCAAGGCGTAGCAGCCCTGACAACAAGTTCAAGAGCCGAGTCGGTCGCTCCAATATCCTTGTTGAGCTATATAATATCTCCTCAGCTGAGGCAAATCATGACCCCATTTGATTTGCTTACCCAATCCCAGAGGTCGATTTGATTTGATTTGATTTGATTGGGGTGTCAAATGGAGTCAAATGTGGGTTAGCAAATCTTGGTTAAGAGGACTACTAAGGATTTCCATCTCACAAGAGAGTCCGCCAAGACCTTTTCAAATAACCCAGAACATTTTAATATTAAAATACCTTTCTGCTAAGACCTTTATTTTTGACTACTAGTAGTAATTTATCAAATTTCAAAGTCTTGATTTGGTTTGACGAAAGTACAGATTTAGTTTATCTGCTAAGCATTTGATTTGGTCTAATTGACTCAAGTAGACTCTGTTATGCGCGCCAAGCATGCCAAGCGTGTGCACGGTATGAGAGGGCCAGAGGGACTCTGGTAGATTCTGCATTATTCCCTTTCCAGCAGCTTCCTTGTGTGGTAGCTTCCTTATATGGCAGCTGTCAAGAAGGTTCTATGTGATGTTTAGATCTCTCTCTTTTCTAGGTACTAGTAGATTCCAGTTCTTTGCGCTCAATAAGTCATTCCATTGATCTCATACTGTTCTATTGCCCTTGCACTCCCCTGAGATCCTCACAGACACTGATTTGTGATAAATCCTCCGTCTTGATTGATGGCTTTGCTGGACGGAACTACTATTATCATGCCCCTGTATTAGTTGTTCAGTGTCAGGTTAATACTACTAATAGTTTGTGATCTTGCAGATCAAGTTTCATTCATATATTTGCAGATATTCTGGGTCTGAAGACTTTTTCAAATGTCGTACGGTTTTTACAAAGTACTAGTAACATGTCTCGTGAAGTTACGGTCCTCTGACGGCCGCGGTCCTTTTGGTCCAACATCTGGAAAATAGGATCTGAGAAAATAGACAAGGAATGCCGGTGGCGCTGCTTATGAGGGTGAAGGCGTAGCCAACTCCAATGTAGATGATGCAATAGTATGACCGCCCAGCAACCACCGCATCCCATTTCCTTCTCTGCTGAAATCCCCGAGAACGATAGTGGGGTCACATTGGATGAGGAAGAGGCAGCTTTACCTGTCGCTGCTAGGAACTTCTATCGACACCCCCCCTGGCAGATGAAGTCGCAGCCTAAGCGGATTAGATCCGGCGACGGCGGTGGCAGCGATTTGGTCCTTGAAATTTTCGCCGATGATACGCTCTCAAAAGAATGTGCATCACCCTGCATGACATTGTTATTCGGTCCCGTCCTCCGCGAATGTATCCGTATCAGATAGACTGAAATGACACAAGATAGTCTTGATCATCATTCTTTTCGGCCAGATATTCTCCCTCCACTTCTTATTCATCCTCCTCTCCATCACTCCCTTCAGGCTCCAAAGGTCGGGCATGCAACCTATAAACTTGTCCACCTCGCGCTCGACCCATATATGAAAGTCGCCACGCCCCCCCCTCCAGAATATCACCAGATCCCTCTTAACCTGCCAGGAGGAGGACTTTCTTGGGCGCTGCATGAGCTTACGGTTTGGGGAAGGGGGAGTAGGTTCGATTGTTGGCGGTTTGGAGACACATAGCCACCAGAAGAACGGACGCGTTGGGCAAGCTGTCGTCGAAACGAGGAATAGTAGCGTACATACCGACTAACCAATCATCTGGGTTCGGGTTGCTCTCGGTAGGCTTACTAACGCGAGAAGCCTATCGAGTGGTACCAATGTATTGCCAGCTTCGCCAAAATGTGACAAGACTACTGAATCGAACGTGCTCAGATAGCTCATCCGTAGATGCTGTCATTCGAGAAGTCTTCAGTCCAGAACCATTCGTCGAAATCGAAGTCCAAGTCAAGAGCCTCTTCGAGGTTTCCCACATCCTCCTCCGCCGGCTCTCCCTTCCGACCTTCTTGCTGGCGTCAGGAGCCCCGTCTCCTCGTCCACCACCTCTGAACCGACGTTGCTGGGAGATTGGACTGAGCCCTCCGTCTCGCTCTCGCTTGCCTCCATTTCAAATTCCTTGATGTACGTCCCTACCGTAATCCCTATCGTCTTCTTAAACACACGGCAGAGATAACTCGGCGTAACTCCCACCTCTTTCGCCAACTCCTTTAAGCCCCTTTTCATCGTCAAATCATCCTTCCTTATCCGCAAAAGTGCTATTGCTCTTGTGACAAGCTCCTCCCCCTCTCCAAAGAAGGTCGCGTTATCCGGCTTACACCTCTTGCACGGCCTGAATCCGTCGCGTTGGGCTTGGTCTTCAGTGTCGTAAAACACGACATTGGCTCTTCGAGCAAGGCGTGCAGAGCAGGTGGGGCGGCAGTAGATCTTGGTGGATTTGACGCCGTAGAGAAAGGATGAATGGGCAGAGGGAGCGCGGTGGGTGAGGGCGAGCCAACGGGTGTGGGAGTTTTGGAAAGGGTCGGGAGTGATTGAAGACCTCGGAATTTGTGATTGCATATTGAGATGGGCTTAGGGATATTGGGGCAGTTTGGTTGGGGGACGTGCGATACCCCGACAATAGGTTGACCCCCTGCTGAGGTACTTAGATTTGAATATACGGAGTAATGGTACTCCGTGCATCAAGGTGCAAAGGGTGCCAAATCCGGCACCCGTTGGACGTCGCTTTTGGCACCCTCTGCACTGATGCTAGACAGGAATACGGGATTGCCCTTTTTTTCAAAGCCAGAGGCGTTCCAAAGGGAACAGGCCAGGCCTCTAGGCTAGCCCTTCTGGTCCCGTATCGGCGATGCTCAGGCTACCCGGAGGTGATCCCCGAGTTATCCAGGGATGATTCTCAGGCTGCGCCTGAGTCATACCGAGATTAAGCCGGGCTAGTGCTAATCTGGTCGTGGTCATGATAGAAATCGTCTTCTGCTTTTTCTTGAACGTCATAGATTCGAGCACGGGAAATACTGTCTATCTTGTAAAATTTTGGAAACAGGTTACCGCCAAGTAAAGTGTCTGGAGATGAAAGGGGTATACTACGTAGGCGGAATGGATGGAACAGTGGCAGAAGTATTCTATTTTGTGCGTGATACGGAGCTATAAATGGGCTACAATGACCAAGACGAAGCATGAAGAGATTAACAGGGACTGGGCAGACACTCTAGTAGTACTACGTATGGCAGCTATAAACATTGGCCTGACACCAGTAACTCACCACAGAGACCAAAGAGAACGGTTGTACCATGGCGGTAATTATAGTTTGATCATGGCATAATTACGTTGTAGGGTTTCCTTAACGCACTATTGAAGCCCCCAATTTTAATACCGTAATGACCACTCTGTCCCCCCTGCGTATGTAGCCTCTTCTTATCAAGGTCCCAAAATAGGTAGGTCCACCAAGATACTAGCGGTACTTGTTACAGTGTATGTCACAAGTCAAATCTAAGCACGTCGAGCATATGGCTGGACTGGGCTCTGCATGGTCATTTTCTGCACCAAACGACTTTTTTACAAATTGGAGTCAACATGGTGAACGTCAAGTGATTGAACCGTAACGGTACGCAGGAAAAATTCATGATCATAGAGCCGCCGATAACACTAGTAAGAGATGGCGCCCAATAGTGCTTGGTCGTGATATAAGGGCCTAGGGCATGCATTGGCTCTGGATTGTTGTCGGCTAACAGTGAATTAGGCTTGTCTGGTTCTTCCGCGGCTTGATCCGCATGCTGCCACGATAGGAAGCTGTAGTGCGTAGCATTCGTGTTGATAGAGCGGAAAAAATTCTAGCAGTTGTGTTTCCTGGTGAATATCTTAGAGCAGGGCAGAGAAATCCATCTGACGAGATGATAAATTAATGCGAAAACTGAGCGGAATTCCCTCTTCTGTTAACATCGCAAACTCTTTAATCAGGCCAGAAATGCCTAGCTTTAAGAGGCATGTACTAAGTCTCTACTTGTAAAAGGACACCAAAGAGGAAGGACTAGTCGCAACACAGACTACCAACGCAAGCCTTTTTCCGTGACACTGTCCCCTATTGAGTTAAGGGTCTCGTATTGTCGACTACAGCGTGCGGAGCAGAAACAGGGGTACCAAGGTCTGCTCAGACAAGGCATTCGAACTCGGACACGCCTATACAGACAGGATAGATTGCATTGAACATATATTTTGTGACTTGTCTTCGATCTATATCCATCTCTTCCAAAATCTTAATAGCTAGGCGAATAAGATCTTTTTCATTCCCTCTCTTAACCATGTCAACAATTCACCTTGTGCTTGCCCTTGCCCTCGCTTTCACCCGAATTTCCGCAACCACAACCCAAACCCTCGCCTCTCTGCCCGCCTTCACGCAACAGCGGTCCTGCGCAAGCGCATGCTTCTGGAACGGCGACCCTGACAACACCAACGCGCAGGACGTCCTTGGTATTAAGCTCGGCTGCTGCGCAAACAGCGTCACTTGCGAGGACCGTGCAGCGGACTCGTGCTTCTGCCGCGTGGACCTGAGCTCACTGGCTACGAGCTGGCTAAGCACGTGTGCTCTGCATCATTGCTCGAGTAATGCTGTGGATGTTAGCAGTGCCATCGGGGTCTACGATGAGTATTGCAGGAATAAGTGGGTTGTTGCGACGGCGACTGGGACTGTGACGAATAAGGCAACAAGTGCCACGACGGCGGCGGGGACGGCGGTGCAGACAGGGGGACCGGCGTCGGCGGTTACTGTTTACGTGACGAGGTCGGGGCAGAATGCGGTGTCGAGCAGATGCTGGGTCTCCTTTTCATGTATGTTGGTAATTATTGTGTTGGAATATCTTGGACGAATGGCTGGTACATGACTTCCCACGGGAAATCTGGCTAATAGAGATAAATTAAGTAAGGGGGAGGAATCTTCGCAGTCTACAGTGGATAAAATTGCTAACATTGCGAAATGTCTCGGGGCAGCCAAACTCGTCAAGCATAAATATTCTGTTCGAACATAATTCAGGACTTGGCGTTTTGTCAGAGGATGATTTTTTGATGAAGTGGATGAACTGAATTCTATCAACCTGCAGAATCCGTTTCAGAAGGAGGAGAGGCTAAAATACTGTGCGGAGGATTATTTTAAGAGTCGGCTCATAAATTCTATGATAACTAGTAATCTTACTAGTCTTAGCTACGATAGAAAATGAATTAAGTAATAATTAGACCTAGAGGTCAACTTATTCCACAGAGATAGTGACCCCTCTTAGGTAGGAGCGGAGTTGAAGATTGCATTGGCCGTTTAGCCTTTATAGTTCGCTATACTCTGTATATTGCGGCCAGGATCTTGAATTTGTCTAACTCTAAAGTCAAATAGACCTAGATACAGAGGAAATTTGTACCCAGTAAGCATCTTTATTCCAGATTAGAATCTTCATGTAGCAAGCTGCACCGTTATGAATGACCCGTTTGGAGTATATATTGCTGACAGCGAGTTAAATGACCTGCGTATTAGGGCTTAACTGGTTAAGACAAGTCTCAACTAGAAGCTGGGTCTAAAGGGTTGGTTGGGTAGAACAGGAAGTGCAGTAAACAAGACTAAGATGTGGGCAACGTAAGTATGAGCTGATAAGATGAGTTGACGACGAAGACTATGAAACTATCTGGGAAATGAGCGTGCTTATATAGAGTAGAAGATTCGTGCTCAGAGTTGATCATCCTGATCACCTCTGATCATTACGTTGTCCAGGTCTGACCATGTGTGTAGTTCAGGGTCCAGTCCTGTCCAAGTCTGTCATAGTTCCTTCGCAGAGTGCCAGGCAGCTCCGTAGTGCCTGTCGGTGCTTGGCGTGTTCACGTGCTGTAACACTGCGCTCATGCTAGAACTTGCTGAAGTAGCTGCATTCCGTTGACACCATTCAGATATTTCTTCTCGTCAGGATTATATACAATGCTGCTCCCCCATCTTTGAAATTCAAAAGCTGTGATGTCGGGATACTTTGCTGGCTCCGTGGAAGAGACAAACTTTGGCAATATGGACCAACCAAGATTTTGCGCCCCGCCTTGAAGAGATAGGCCGTGGACATTCTGGGTGGCAGGATCAAACCACTTTCCACCTTCATTGTCTCTAGAGTAGTGACCTGATGGAAACCGCCGGAAATCTCTCCATTGGTCCAACGCGTCAGTATATCACCAACGCTGACAATCATTTCCATAGTATCGGTCGGCGGTAGGGGAATGAAAGAATTAGGTTCAGGATTGGTCCGGTCTTTAATTCTAGACCATTAGTACCGTTTTAGGCAGCAGCGTGATGGGAAAAAATGGGTATGTGGCGCAATACGGCTTGTACGGCTCAGTTGCATCTCGTCAACGCGAATTGTAGGATACTGAGTTAATCGAAGATCTGTGGCGCTGGGAACGCAGCGTGCGACTAACGAACGACCTATACTCGATACGCCAGGCGAGATCTAGGACCCCCATAAGCGTCAGACAAACGTCATCACATCGACGGTAAAAGTCTTCCATAAGGGTCGAAATCCCTATAGCTCAGGCGCCTTAGGCCATTTGGTTGGGAAGTCTGTGTTGTATTTTGGACAGGGTATTCATCAAATTAAAGAAAGCAAATTGAGGCCCTGATTCGCTTTAATTAATAAATCAAAAATCGTAATCTGTTTTATCTGACAGATTTATTGCCTCAGTCCCTCAGACGGGCTTAGTGGGCTGCGCCACACACGCCATGCTCGAAATGGGCTAGTCTTTGACTAAGCAGACATTGTCTCACACGTCTGAGATCACGAGCCCATATTTTGGCCTGATTGTCATTCGTTATAATGTAAATAGGGCCAAAGTCATGTCATTCGTGTCGCGACTCATAATCTATCTACGTTTTCATCTATTGCAATAATAACATTATCAATCTTTACTAACTAAAATAATCTGTCGTGACTCTTGATACCGCTCTATCTACTTACTAGTTTGTAGTGCACGCTTATGCTAGTAATTCTGGTTGGTTAATGTGGTCAGAACCCAATAGCCGAATATACCTTTCTGAAGACATTTCCATCTTCTTAGCTGAAGCCTGCTCTCATGTATTGACTCCAAATTACCCAATACATATGCTTAATCCCACTGTCATTGTACATTTCTTGTTGAACCTTGCCAGCTCCATCGTCGATTCATTGGTGAAATCTCTCAGCTAATTCTAATCGTATTCTGGAGATCTTAATACTCTCTTTTAAGAAAATGTGATTTGACAAAAATCTGATAAGGTCCCTAGCATTATCTAGCCGTCTAATGCTCCTGAAATTTCTGTCGGTAATTCTTATCTTGTCTTTAGATCACCGATGACTAGATTGACTGTCGAGTAACACAGCTTAACGCTGGTGCGACCGTATGGCCAGCAACCTCCTTGCAGGGCAGCACAAGCTACCGCAACTGCCAAGAGAAGTTGGCTGTACTACGGGTACAGGCCTAAATAATGTACCCCCCCCTGGTGAAAACGCTAGTATTCGTACAAATCGACTATACAGAATTGAGTATAGACGTTAATAAAATCGCCCAATTAGGACTAGTCTCTAAAATCGAGTTTGCATTCCTTTTGCATCTATAACTGCTTGACATCTCTCTCGCATAGATCTAAGCAGCTCCACAAGATAGTCAGAAGGCACAGCATCCCATGCAGCATTAACAGCTGCACGTAGCTCATCGTGCTTGTGTAATGTATCTCTATAGTGCTCTTGTATCCAATCCTTCATCCAATTCCATACCATCTCAATTGGATTCAAATCTGGCGAATACGCAGGCCATTGAACGCATTGGATACCACGTTGACGAAGATCTCGAATAGTGCCCTTAGCAGCATGAGCAGGAGCAGAATCTTGCATAAACGTTAGATCTCCATTTGTACGTATCTAATTATCAATAATAAGGATGATATGCTCTCGATATGTTGCTTCTTTAATACTCCCCCATTCTTTCTCCCAAAATATACCAGGGCCCTTCTTATCACCATGGAAACAGCCCCCAAAACATCCAACCTTTACGTCGTTGATAGCGTTCAACAATACATGTAGGGTCCCACTCCTCACCAGGTCGACGTGTAACGTACGTCTTTGTATGTTGATCCCCATTAACCCATGTTTCATCGCTCCATAGTATCTTCTCCCATTGTTCGTACGTCCAACTAACGTGTTCATGAGCCCATTGTAAACGCGCTTATTGATTCTTCTTAGAAATAGGGGGTTTACGACGAGCAACTCGACGTGAGAACCCTGCTCTTCGTAAAGCATTTCGAATAGCGTACCATCCAATATTGATCTTCATAGCAATAGGGATTTGTATCCATGGTATACGTCGATTTGCTGGAGAAGAACAAATCCACGTAATGATTTGATCAAGTTCTTCATTCGTAATTATTGAATGTCTGCCAGGGCGCTTTTTAGGCGTTAATCGATTATGTATAGCGTATTTAATTTGACGTCGTGTAAGATTTGGTAGCTGCTGAAGAATTTCGTTATACGTATGCCCTGCGTCATGTAACGTTTGAATTTGCAAACGTTGATCTCGAGTAGTTTGAGAAGGATTTGAGGGATTCGAGGGATTCGAAGGAGGAGTAGAAGGAGGAGGAGGAGGAGGAGAAGGAGGAGGAGGAGGAGGCATCGTAAAATTCGCAGTATTTGAACGTGTAGAATTTGTAGAATGCGCAGATTTCGAACGCGCAGAAATGCAACGAATTCGAATGTGCAGAATTTGTAGAATGCGTAGAATTCGAACGTGCAGAATTCGTGGTAGATAGCAATAGGGATGCTAGCAAGGGTGCGTATGTAAAGTGGGCGTTTTGTAACAAATTTTGACCAGGGGGGGGGTACATTATTTAGGCCTGTACCCGTAGTACATGTACAGCCAACTTCCCAAAGCGGCTTAGCGTCATTCTGACATATCACGTGTCCTGATTTCCTGTGCCTTGGCACAGGAAATCCCTATTAGGTAGTTACCGGAAAACCTAGATAGACGAACAGACAACACTACAGAGTGAGAACTTCAACATTGACTGCCTTTCTATGTGTCAATAGCTCTGTGTTCAATCTGTGTATTTTTGGTGTATTTTTGGCGTATTTTTGGTAAAATCTTGTATTGTATTTTATATTGAATAGTTACGAATTCTGCATAGGATTATGTGTGAAATAGCTGCAAAATAGCTACGTAGGATTGTGCGTGAAATAGCTGCGAAATCTGCGTAGAAAGCTGCGTAGGATCGTGCGCGAAATAGCTGCGAGATCTGTTGATTTTTACGTAAGATTACAAATTACAAGATAATACATGTAGTTTTCGCTCAAAAGGGTATAGCTCGCTTATCTTGTGGGGCGGAATGACAATCAGGCCGTATTATTCGTTCCTGTTCTCAGACGTGCTGGCGCACATTGACTTAGTCATCGTCAAAGCCACAGAGTACGGCTGAGAACTGAGGCAACAGATTTATTAACCTGAGTCAAATCTTAGTAAGCAATATATTTCTAGGGATTTACTTGAATTCTGGTCCAGTTTGAGTGTCCGCCAAGACTATTATTATTCTATCGAGAAATGTCCTTGGATGTTTCAAAGGAAGAGACTTTTCTTGCCAAGCATTTGATTTAATTTGATGGACACGCTGATTTTTGGGGGCCTTGATCACAATGCTCCTAGGTATCATACTAGTAATCAGTCGAAATGTCGAGCACCTCTACATATATGATCCTAATCCTTGCATCATGATGGGGCTTTCCGACTTCTTCAACTCTCCATGGCGTGCAACCACGCATACGCCTAGGCCCTGTTTAATTTGGAACTTCATACTTCACCTCTAATGGCTGATCAAGAAGCTTTTAGCCCTGGCAAAGAAAGTCAGTGTCGCGGCAAATACAACATGTATCGAGGTGGGGCTCTACCCAGCTGAACAAACCAGTATCTGATTATTCGTTGTCAGACCTCACCATCGCTACCAAAATACGGAATTGAGATAGGAACCATGGTGTTGTAAATTCACACTACTCCTGATCGCCCCACCCCCCTGGCTCTGCCTTGCCCTATTTCGTCTACTGCTCTGCCCACTGCACCGTTTCGGCACTTTATCGGCCTCCAAGCCTTCATTGTAGGCGCCCTTTTGCAGCCGGCTCTGGAGACCTGCAATCTTGGAGGCGCAGTTGATGGTGGACGCAAACACGGATCCTCCACAGCCGCCTCCTAATCCTTCTCTACCCCCTTCTTGGCTACTAGTACTTCCTCGGCTTCCACAAGGTCCTGCTTGCCGGTGGTAATAGGAGAGGATGTGAGAGAAAGGAGTGGAATTGGCCGGAGTCCACCTGAAGACTTGACTCCTCTGCAGCCTATAAACGCGCCTCTCTACTGCCTGATTGTGCTCTATGATTTGCAACTTTTTCTGCGGCCTCCAGGCCTGTCATAAGCCTTTTTGGGTCTGATAATGAGCAGGATGATGTTGAACGTGAGGATCCTCCTGACGTAATCCTCGAGTAAATTCAACAAGGTCCCGTTGTGTCTATGTAGCTGCATTTGCATATGCTTGGCGGACGTCCGCTGTAAACTCATCTCGAGCCTCGAGCACCTGCAGGCCGAACCCTGACATCTTAATTGGCTCACCGTAGTACCACCAGCGCGGATGAACGAGGGACCCGGAATAGTTGACCCTTGGTGGCGAATCTACAGAATGTAGTGTCTACAAGGTAGGTAGGCTTAATCGTACCAACAGCTCGCAGTTGGTATAGAGATTTTTCGAAGTCTGTAATATGCTGTTTTGGAAGTCTACAGGTGCTTTGCAAGAATGCTGTTAAGCCACATTTACTGTACTGTATGATAGATCGGCTCAATGGCACCACAGCGGCCGGTGGCTCTGCCCCGAGTCTTGCCGAGCTTACTAGTCCATGCGTGGATGGTGAGCTGACTACAGCCCGAAGGCCCGGAAGCCCGGAAGCCATTGGTCAATTTCAGTACAACACCCAACGCTTTTCGCTGAATGGTCGCTTCGAGTACACAGCGAAGTGCTTGTCGCTAATTGGTCACTTCATGTACATACTCAGTGCTTGTCGCTGATTGATCACTATGAGTTCACAGCTCCGTCATTTGTGGCTGATTGGGTACTTTGGATACATACTCCCTACTTCCGTTGCTTTGTGGCGAGTGGTCACTTTCAGTACGCTGTACCGCTTCAGTATAAGATTTCACGATCTCCTTCCTATAATGAATTCTCATTCACTTTGTGTCGACTTCACTTCCTTCTTTCCCTTAAAACCATGTGGATTCTCTAATTCTCCCTATCGTGATAAAAGTTCGAAAGCCACTGACTGCAGCTTCAAACGTCGCCTTCTCGCCTCCTCGTCTTCTTCTCTAAGGGTCATTTGACTCCGGCAACCCAAGGCAGATTTGATCTATCACTTCTCCTTTCGAACAAAAACGTCTGTCTACCTGATACATACGACAAGAATCATATGGTCTTCTTTCGCGCGCTTTAGGTTTTGACATATTGCAAGACCTTCGAAGCGAAGCAGTAAAAGACAATGGCACCGAGCTCCGAACATAGCTCGTCACTAAAGAATGTTTCGCACACCCCGGGTGACGAAAAAGAGACGCTCGCTGACGAAAAAGGGTCTTCTCCCCATGCTGAAAAACCTCCGCCATCTCTGCCCACAGCAGTTGACACAGCGCCCGTCGACACCGAGGTTACTTATCCCGAAGGTGGCCGTGATGCCTGGTTGGTGGTGCTGGGTGCCTCGTGTGGCCTGACCGCATCGCTAGGTATATACAACACAGCCGGAGTGTTCGAGGTCGTTATCTCAAAAGTGATCTTACCCGAAGAATCTCCATCTAGTCTTGGCTGGATATTCTCGATCTACGCCTTCGTGAACTGGGTTTGTGGGGTGCAAGTTGGACCAACCTTCGATGCGATGGGCCCGCGTGCACTGATCGTTGCGGGAACCATTTGCACGTTCATTGGCATTTTCTCACTCAGCGTCTGTACAGGTAAGATTAATTTTCATGCGATACTCCATGCATCAAACATCCTCGCATCAAACATCCTCGCATCAAACATCCTCGCATCAAACATCCTCGCAACAATCTGCTGAGATTGATGTTAGCCTGATCTTCTTTAAAGCTCTGTCCATTACTAATGGTGATACAGAATACTATCAGATCTTTCTGTCATTCTCCATTTTGGTCGGTATCGGTTCATCCCTTCTCCTTATCCCATCAATGGGCTGCGTCGCTCATTGGTTTATGAAGCGTCGCGGTCTCGCTAGTGGCATAGCATTTATAGGGGGCGGTTTCGGTGGCGTTCTCTTTCCCCTGATGATACAATCACTCCTCCCTCAAGTTGGATGGGGATGGTCGATCCGGATTCTCGGATTTGTGCTGCTCGTGCTTTGCGCTATTAGCGTGGCATTTTGCCGAAGCAGAGTTCCACCGCGCAAAGGAGCAGCAACTACTTGGCGAGACACATTGCCGGACCCACGAATCTTTATGGATGGAACAGGAGCCATGGCAGCCACAACCGCTGGGGTCCTTTTGACGGATCTGGCGTACTTCATACCTATTACATACGTGCCGCGCTACTACATCGATCGACAAGGTCTGTCTGATAAGGAGGCCTTGACGGGGTCAGCGGCGTTCGCATATCAACTTCTCGCGATTCTCAATGCTGCTTCATGCGTTGGCCGGTGCGTGGCGGGCGACCTGGCTGATCGATTCGGCCGGTACAACACCATGATTGTCTCGTTGTTCCTCTGCACGTTATCAGTCCTGTATTTCTGGTTACTAGACATTCTCTTACCAAACCTGGACAACTACGCACTCCTGGTAGTCTTTGTACTACTATTCGGTTTTGTCAGCGGGTCAAACGTTAGCTTGACACCAATCTGCCTAGGTCAGCTTTGCGAAACTCAAGAATATGGGCGATATTACGCAAGCTGTTTCACGGTAGTAGCTTTCGGCGTGTTGGTAAGTATCCCTATCGCTGGGAGCCTTCTCGATGCGGTGGAGGCTACCGGTAAAGGAAAGTATTGGGGCGTCGCTCTTTTCGCCGGACTCAGCTATGTGGCCTCCTTTCTATGTTTTGTATGGGTCAGGATCAAAGTAAAGGGGTGGAAATGGAGGACAAGGTGGTAGAAAGTCAACCTTACGGCATTACGAGGACCATGAAGGCAAATGTGTATCAAATATAGTCCTGACAAGTGTAGAGTTCGAGATATTTCGACGCGGCGATTTTCGTAAACTGCTTCACTATAACATCGTCACTATTTGCCGAGTATCATATCTCCACATTACGATCTACACTCTCAGAAATGCACAATGTTGGCTATTGACTCGCTTTGCGTTTCGTGATACGTGAGCGTTGGATGTCAGCGGAACAAAAATGAGTTCGATATTTCACGTGTATTACTTCACCTTTCATTAAGCACCGGATTAGGACAGAGGGACCGTTTTACCCTGGTCGCATTTGTATCCCTGTGCTCTCTCTCGTCTGCTGCCTTCTCTCTCCGCCATGGGAATTCCCAATGCAGCAAAGCGATCCGCCTGCGACCGGTGCATAGCCAAGCGAGTCCGTTGTACTACGGGGGCAGGCATGAGTAATCGTAGCACGGTGCTAAGAACAGCTAGTATTAAATACATCGCTACCACACTTTCTCGAAGCTTCTCTTGATTCTGTCCACACGATCGACCCGATACAGTACAGCTAGGCCACTATTGGTGTAGCATAAAAGTATATTGGCTGTTTTGGATACCTAACACTAGCGCCATGCTACGAATACCTATGCCAGGTACCGTAGTACGTGTGCCGAAGACAGCACTTGTCCATGCGCCCGCTGTGTCCGCATCGGTGCGCAATGCATTACTGGCTCCCCCCGCTATCCCGGCCGGCCGCGAAAGGGGCCTCTGGGCCTCTCGATAGCGCCCCCAGCCCAACCATCGCCGCTGCTGAGGTCTCCACGCCTGGATACTGGTCTACTCCGTGAAACAGCGACAGTCGCCCCTTGGATACGTCTGCGAAGGATGAGACGATGTAGATCAACACGCCTTCGAGATGGTTCGGGACCGCAGTGTATCCATCACATCAGATAAAACCAAATCTGGAAACCCGTTTGATTTGCTTACCTAATCCCAGAGGTCGATTTGATTTGATTCGACTCATTTGTCAAATGTCAAATGGGGTCAAATGTTACGGATTCGTGCTTCAAACGGCCCTATCACCCTCTATCTTAAGCCTCTAAGATTTAAGTCATTCGAAAGACTACTTGTCAGCAGCTAAGTCCAAGATGGCTAGTCTCACAGCCACATTAGCCCGGGGAACAGCTGCTTTACTGATTTTACTTTTTTGAGTTTCAATAAGGTTTTTCTAAGCAAGATTCTGCAGTCTGGCGCCCTAAAGACTTCAACTGATCTCAAGAAACAATTCGAGATGTGTTCTGACCAATTAAAATGCTATCAATTATCTGGGTATGAACCTAAGCTACACACTTTTTGGCCAATCAAGCTTGACGATGGTCTTCACAGTAGAAAGATGGTTTAACATATACTTGTCTTTTTCACCAACGGCACTTGTTTCATATCTTTATTCTTCTGGTAAGCAGAGAGATGACTAACATTGATTGATATTTCTACTACCGAGAGCATAGGACTCACACTACTAGTCATACTCGGGAAGGAATAGTACTCTGTAATCAGAGGAGATCTAGGAACGTGACGAGCAATGAACTTGGCAAGGCTGACTCGTGTCTAAAATCGGCATGGTTTGTTGATGGGGCTGTCTAGCTTGCAGACTTGGATGTTGGCTTCACTCTTCTCTACCCTATTAGTTGGTCTCAGCAGTACCTTCGCCACCTATACGAAGTACTCCGTATTCTCTCGTCCATAGTCGGGGAAGGGTTCCAGCAGTGCCTCTGGCAAGTTCCGCCTCCTCTTATCCAGGTAACAACCGCTGACCCACTTGGATGAGTTGAAGAATCAGCTGCCCAATAAAGTTTTGGCAGTCGAGCGTCGTCCGCCTTTGCACGTAGCTCAGCCTGCTCGCTTCATGCCCCAGCCTCTTTCTCGACCTTATATCTACCGACTCTCCGCAAAAAAGCCCTGCTAGAACTCGAACCTTCCCTGACTGAACCCAGCGCTCTCCTTCCCTGATACACGCCACAGATTCAACACAAGCATGGACAGAGCATCTTTCTCCGTATTTCATCCTTCCCTCTGGCTCCTGACCCTCCTCTTCAATCTGGTGACCGCTCAAACCGTCTCCATTGCAAAAGATGCTGGCCTTCTCGCGCAGCGTGACTGCGTGCAAATCTGCATCGGAGGCACCGGCGCCGGAACGGGCCACGAGAATCTGCTCCAAGCCGTGGGGTGCGGCAACTCGAATGCAGACTCGTGCCTCTGCCGCGCTGATCTACGTCCCCCAGCCTCACAATACCTTTCCAGCTGCCTCACGACCGACTTCACAACCTGCAGCGGCAGCCCGGACTACACGGCCGCGGTCTCCATCTATAATCGGTACTGCAGCTTCACTGGGCCGGCGGTGGTCACAGCAACGCCAACACCGACGTCCGCGACCAATGACGTGAATGTTAACGGCGTTACGACGGTCACACAGACGACAGCGCCAACCGTGACGGTTGTCGTGTCATCTTCTAGCTCCTCTTCCGTCATACAACCTAGCTTCGGTGAGTTAGGTCTCATCGCAGTAGCGACGGGCCTCCTGCTCCTCGCCAAACTTGCGGTGCCGGGCCGCTGACTGTCTGTGGATGGCCAGGCTCTGATATAACATCGAGCCCAGGGTCCTCCCAGAGCGAGCCGGGGTCTTCTTCTTCTTCTTCTTTCAGCAGTTCTCCCTCAACCTCTGCATCATCTTCTCAATCGTCCCCGCCTGCCCCTACAACCCCACCGACCCAGGGCCACCAAGATAGTAGTGGTAATGGGAGAGGACTGAACCGTGCAGATAAGATAGCCGTGGCAGTTGGTGTGGTTGTGCCTGTTTTCTGTGCTGCCGTGACCATCTTTGCGGCTTACTGGTTTAAGAAGAGGCGCAGTACAGGAGCCAACAGGAAAGTTGGCGGCTCACCGGGAGATGGTGGTCCTGCCCTGCCGAGATCAAATCGGCACCCGACTGGTTTAGGTGATATAGAACTAACCAGGCCAAGCCAAGTGGCGATAGCCGACAGCTTAGAATCAAATCAGACTGTTGGGAACAGGGCACAAGGGCAATAGAACATTCGGGTGTTACGGGCTTAAGGTCAATTCAATTTTTTGGAAAATCAATTTTTTGGGGATAATCAAAATGGATTTTAGTACTCTTAAGAGGATTCTCTCTAAGAGAATTCTTTAGAGAGGTTGCCCCTAGAGAGTGTATCCCTAGAAAGAGTGCCCTTAAGAGGATATCTCTAAGAGAGTATTCTAAAGAGTGCCTTTAATAGTATGTCTTTAACAGGACTTTTAAGAGGATGCTCTTAAGAGAGTGTGCCCTTAAAAGAGTATTCATAAGAGGGCATCCTTAAAAGAGCATCTCTAGAAGGGCATCTTTAAAAGAGCTTTCTTAGAAGGGTATCCCTAGAAGAGCATCCCTAGAAGTGCCAGGCCTAGCATGCCCACAACAAGAGGCATAATGTTATGACCGCCGAGCCCTGCGCACGGTATTAGGGCCAGGAGGACTCTAGTGGATTCTGCATCATTCCCTTGTCCAGCAACTTCCTTGTTTGGCAGCTGCCCTGTTTGACAGCTGCCTTGTTTGACAAGCTATCAAGAAGGTTCTATGAGCACAAAGGCCTTCTGGTATTTAGATCTCTCTTCTCTCTGGATAGATTCTAGTTCTCTGCGCTCAATAAATCATTCTATTGACCTCCTACTATTCTATTGCCCTTGCACTCCCCTGGGATCCTAACACATAAGGACTTGATACGAGGGCCATGGGTATTCGTCGCCGGCCTACTAGCTGAGCAACATTGCCGAGCCAGTCGAGGCTCCCGAGAAGTCAGGGTATCCAATAAATCAAACAAAGCAAATCGAGGCCCTGATCTGCCTTGATTATTTGAATCAATGGTAGTACCTCAAATTGAGTCAAATCTGAGTAAGCAATACATTTCTAAATATTTACTTCTATCAGATAGGTAGAAGAAATAGTAGCCCTGTTCTCTCCCAAAAGCATGTAGGGCGTGCAGAAATTACAGGGAAATCACTAACTGCAAAATTACGGTGAGAATGACTAAACAAAAACAGATAAAATATAGGGGTAATGCTTAGAGATAGCGTCTGACAGCTTGAAATTCTCATCCAAATAAAGTGTCCGCCAAGACTATTATCATTCTATCGAAAATATTTTTGAATATTTCAAAACAAGACTTTTCTGTCAAGACTTCAGTCTGACTAATGTGTCAAATCCACAGAGGCCGATTTGATTTGATTTACCAAGCATTTGATTTGATTTATTTGACTAATTTGATTTGATGGGCACACTGCCCGAGCTTTGTTGCCAGAGTATTCGACTTGTCGTAATTGACGTGAAGAACAGGATCATCAGTACCAGTGCCAGACCGCCGATGGGCAAGGCTAGATAGAAATCCCAGCGCCAGGTGCCGCAGCTGACAATGAGCCCTCCGAACAAAGGACCGATTGAGGTACTGGAGAGATCATGCCAAACATCGTGGCCATATAATAATTGCCTCTCTCCTTGAGAGGGACCAAGTCGCAAACAACTGCCTCGATCAGTGCACTCATTCCCGATCCTCCAAGGCCTTGCCAGACTCGGCCGCTAATCAGCATCGCCATATTGATGGCACTATGCACCCTATCGTCCACGCGTCTGCTTACGAATAAGGTAGTGTCCCAGAACTAGCACCAACCCGCCACCTATGCCGCTTCCAGCCAAGAACGTGGCCGTCGATATGATCAGGGGCCACCGGCGACCGAATATGTTCAACATTGGCAGGAGAGACGCCCCGAGCAAATTACAAATCGTTAATGACCACGGCCCGTTGAATATTGCATCTTCAGCGTCTTCACCTGGGCGGGAGCGGAGCTTACATGGTCAAGAAGATTCCATTAGCGACCCAGATATAGTTGTCGCCTCCGCCCAGGTCGGCGACGATGACTGGTAAAAACCGTCGACGTGGTTGTAGCTTCAAGGGCCGTCAGGAGACCTGTCAAGGCGATAACGCACATGATGATCCAGAACTTGGCCTCTTTTCGAGCCCGCTGAGGGCTCTCTTTTGGGGCCTCCTTAGTGTCGACTGAAGCTTCGGAGTTCCTTTCGAGCTTCTTGGTGTTTGAAGCGGCCGCCTCTGGTCGCGCCATATTGTTCTGGCCGTTTCGAATTAAAATGCCAGACTGAAATGAGCGTTGAATGGGAAGACAGGCGATTTTTACCTTTAAGTAGTAAATGGGGACGCCCTCGGAGCTTAGTCTCTCGCCCTTAGCAGGGAGCTCGGAGGTTTTCACCAGGGCCGAGATACTACGTTTTCGTACGTTTGTAGTGTACGCTTCGTAGGACGTAAATTAACCGAAATTTTCAACTTCTGACGAGGTTGCCCGCGGCTAGGAAGATACTAGTAGCTCACAGCTAGGGCGGAATTGAGATAACTACTGTACTATTGACATGACTAGTAAAGCGTCCATTGCAATCCTCTCCAATGGAATCATGTTCATTTTACTCCTGCGGGGTTCAGCATGATAGAACGCCTTGGCCTCTTCCGCATCTTTTCTATTGGCTGTAATTGAGGCACTAGTACTTCTGTACTTCTGTCATGGATCCTTCAAATTCAATCTTCTTGGCGGACTCCTTATTTTACGCATTGGACTCGCTCTGCACAAGTGCTCTTTTGAGTAATCGTTGATTTATCTGTATCAACAACAGCTTTTTTATATACGTTCAGGTGTTTTGCTCATACTTTAAAGCTACCAGTCATCTTGCCGGGCCGGTGCGGAAAGCATGGATTCGTCTCGAAAGAGACAATCCTCGGTGACAATGCATGAGATAGCTCAATCCCGAAGAGAAAGCGTAGAGCTTCCTTGAGCGAGACTCCAAACCCTCATGTCAGCGAGGAAGGCTCGAATATTTCACGCAAGCGGGGCTACCGCGCGACTGAGGAGGCTGCCGAACTCCAGTCTGAGCAGATATACCTCTGCGATCGATGCAAGTCAGTTGACCTCTATGAGGCATTCAAATTCTCTCCCGAAGTTTGCGAAGCCCGCGGTCGGGTGATCATGCCGTTAGGAAATATTACTACCGATATGGAGGATTCCAGCTGCTCTATGTGCCGCTTATTCGCCTCTGTCCATGCCCCCAATGCAAATGATCCCAAATACGAAGTTGACGCCCACCAGCTTCGTGCATTCGAAATATCTTCCTTGCTTTCGAGCAGCCAGAGAAAGAATCGGATCATGGCGAATTCCGAGTTTATTCTAGGGGTCCTGCCTGTACTCTGGGAGAACGTAATAATCGTAAGTACAGGGCAGGAATGCCTGAGCCATGGACTTCTTGCGGCAATCGCTCCATCTGACCGCCCCGCTGCCCGCACACGAGGCTTCGCAACCCACTTGGTAGATTCAATGAAGCCAAATTATGATCAGATACGGAAATGGATTGGTCAGTGTCAGAAACAGCACCGTGGAATATGCGAACTGGACGTCCCACTCCCCACTACTAGACTCATGTGCGTTGACTGCTCCACTGGCAAAGTCATCCAGATCAAGAAGGGTTAAGAGTGTTTCGCACTTAGCTATGTCTGGGGCAACACTGGGCGCAGAAATTACTCAGATCAAGCCCACGAGGTTGCTGGATCTCTACCTGTAACGATGATTTCTCAGGTAGTTGAGGACACCATGGTTGTTGTGGAAAAGCTCGGAGGGCGTTACCTTTGGGTTGACCAATTCTGTATCAATCAAGAGAACGCTCTGGAGAAGCACATGCAGATACAAAATATGCACCGCATTTAGAAGGCGCTTGCGCAACAATTGTCGCAGTTGACGGTAAGAATTCGGCCTGCGGTCTACCAGGCGTTGGGCCTTCTGTGCGAAAGCGCCAGGTTTCCGCAACCTATGGACGTTGGCGACTAGCCTCGATCGCACCTCACATCTCGCTCTTGCTACAACAGTCTCCTTGGACCATGCGAGGTTGGACATATCAGGAAGCTGTGCTGTCAAGACGCTGCCTTTTCTTTACCAGGCAACAAGTCTACTTTTCTTGCAGGGCGACGAACTGCTGTGAAGCGCTTGACGGATTTCCTAGTAGAAGTATCCGCGGCGACGACGACGTTTCCCTGTTGAGCTCGGGGATGTTTGATACAGATTGCGCAGACCAAAGCTACGGCATAACAGACATTAAAAGAAAGGGACTGCGGAATTTCTTTGAGCATCTCTCAAAGTATAAAAGTCGAAAACTGAGCTTTGATTCGGATTCTTTGAATGCTTTCCGCGGAATACTTTCTAAATTCCCATACCAAACTGCGTGGGGAGTACCGATAGCTTGCGCACTAGACGAAAAAGGCTTTACGGATTCAATCTACTATGATATAGGGTTTGCGAGGGGTCTATGGTGGGAGAAGCGAGAAAAGGAAGGCACAAGAGTCTGGCTACGTCGGATATCACAAGACTTACATCACAAGACTTACACCCGAATCTGGACCTCTCCAAATTCCATTTTCGCTTTAAGACCTGAGCACACGTGACTGCAATCCGAGCGATGAATAAGCAGCCCTGAGCTGTGGCTGTGCAAGACTGTTCTGAGCCTGAGTAGTCCTAAGCAACCCTGAGCATTGACTAAATTTTACCCTGAGCTCCCGATGGGCCTAGTTAGAATCTAGGCCTCCCTCCCAGCTCAAAGAGCCCAGTTTCATACCCTTCAGGTTGTTGAGTTCCACTTTCTGGCCCTTTATCACTCGCATATACTTGCCCTTCGATCCGTCTCAGCCAAGGGACGTACACAAATTGTAGCACAAATTGACCAATCACAAGCAGGGGAAATGCAGGGATTTCGCGTAGAAATAGCGTCTGACACTAATTTACAAAAAAGTACTAGTAGTACTAGTAGGTCAGGGCAAAACGCCAAGGCGCCACATCTACTGGTGCTGAGTCAGCAGACGCTTGGGCGAATACTCTGACAAATCCGGACCTAATGGTATCTTACACCGATTCTCGGCCTTGACCTTCAAGTTTTAAGTTGTAGAGCGCATATATAGATTTAAAGCCGGCCTTTTCTCGCGAAACAACAGCCAAAGGTAGGGCTAATGGAACTCGCAACCGCTTTGGCTGTCATCCAATTTTCTGACCAGTGCATAAAGTACCACGTTCTCTTCCCCATATCCTTTAGAAACTTGCCGCATTATATTCTGACCGGCAAAGGTACGGACAAAAGCTCGTGCGAAGATGCCAGAACTACCGTCACGCCGAAGCCGAAGCTCGGGAGCTCATGATCAGCATCGAGCACAACTGGATGAAAACCGAAGCACAAATAAACTTCCTTAAGAAAATCGCCACAACCCTCGATCCATGCTATCGTGATGTGCAGTCACGTGTTCTTTCTGAGCTGGAGGGAAAGCTCAAGACTGCCACTCTTACCATGGACCAGCTGGTCATACATGAGAAAGAGAAGAAAAAGGAGAAAGAAAGGGATCTAGATATTCCGGCGGTGACGAAGGCTCTTGAAAAGATGGGCCCAAGCAAGAAAGTCAAATATGCCTTCCAAAAAGGGAGCCTGGAGAGCATTAGAGATGATCTGGAGAACTGGCAACGCCGATTCGATCCTTCCTGGATGCTGACTATGCGCATTGCAGACTCACTCATTGACGAAGAGCTGGATCAAGAGGAAAGAAAGCCACAGCAAACCAAATTCATCATCGCGGCGAAAGGTGTTCGTGACGCAGCCAGGGAATCAACCTCAACTTCCAGCCCCACGGATGGCAGCATTTTCAAATCCGCCACTATTCTCACCACAGATGAAACGTCAATTCCATTCTCTTCTGCACTTCTTTGCCAACTTCCTGACTCAAAAGAACATGTACTCGTTGACACCATGATCTGCAACCCCATCGCAAATATGGATCGAACAATGCGGGATGTTCGCAAACTAGCTCGCATCCTGTCAAAAGTTGATCCTTCGACATTCAGCCTCTTAGCCTGCATAGGGGTAATTAGGTCTTCCACAACATGTACAAAACAACCCTTTTCGGGCGTCTATCAAGGACAAAGCAAGGAGCATCCAACGTTCAAATTCCTCTTCGCCATCCCGACTTCTCTATCCTCGCCAAAGTCTCTCCGTGCTCTGCTAATTGAAAGCAACCCCTGGTATCCACTCAACAGTCGTTTTGACCTTGCCAAACAATTGACAAGCTCTGTCCTTTTCATACATAGTTCGCAATTTGTGCACAAGAACATCCGACCTGAGACGACTATTATCTTTGAGAAGGGAGAAAAATCAAGGAGCGACTTGGGCAAGTTATTCTTGGTGGGATTTGAGAAGTTTCGGCCCGCGGAGGGCATTACTTATCGAACCAGTGACGGCATTTGGCAGCATGATTTGTGTATGTGATTGCATTTCTCTTCTTCGGAGATGCTCACTGTTAGACACAACAGAAAAGAGACAGACGGACTGACAAATCCACAGACCGACACCCAAGTCGCCAAGGCACCCAACCAGAGGAAGAATACCAAATGCAACACGATATCTACAGTCTAGGCGTTGTCCTCCTCGAACTCGGTCTCTGGCAATCCTTTATCACCTACCCTAACCCACCACCCTCCAGTCCGACATCCAGCTCCTCATCCTCAGACACCAAGCAAGCTGAACTGGAAGACCCCACAACCCCGATCCCGCCCGCCTTCATCACCCAATACGCTTCGGAAAAGGACATGCGAAAGCGCGCTACAGCCATTAAAGCCCACGTCATCTCCCTCGCGTCCGAGATGTTGCCTGCGAGGATGGGAAGGAAGTATGCGGATATCGTGTTGTTGTGTTTGCGGTGTTTGGATAGCGCGCCTCCTTTGGGCCCAACGGTTGAGGGTGAGGGAGGGGAGGACGGCAAGGGGAGTTATTGTGGTCCTGGAGGGGAGTTTGAAGATGTGTTTGACGAGGATGGGATTGTGGTGGGTGTGAAGTATATAGAGAAGATTTTGTTGAAGATGCAGGAGATTAGTGTTTGAGTTTTGTGTTGTGCGTGGTGAGGTCTGGGGATGATGGAAGATTGATGGGCATTTGTGGTGGTCTTGAGGAGGATGAGTGGTGGCGTTAGTGTGGCTAAGATTTTTCGATTTCTGCATCTCAATTGCAATACTTCTCTTAATTTATACCATGCTTATCTCTCACTGGAATTGACTATCGATATGACGATAATGACTTGTAAATATCAAAAAGGATTTGGAGGAAGAAACATCGATTGCTTCATCTACAGATATGTATACGATCTTGAAATGAGAAGGTAAAGGATTCCATGCGGTAGGACATGGTACGAAGCCAAAGAACGATAATCTTCAAGCTTTCCCCCTGCATATATCAGGCGTTGTTGATCCGGTGGTATACCTTCTTTCTCTTCGATCGCATCCTTCACATGTCCGATAGAATCGGTTTCATAAACAGACAATTCGATGGTTTTTCCGGTAAAGGTTTTGACCAGGATAGGCATTCGCTGAGGGCGTGACAAGGTTGGCTGGGTTCTAAAAGCCTCGGCGTCTCGATCCTTCTTTGATTTGCTTAGTATATTGTATAGTTCTATTTTGGGACACATGCTCACCTTGAATAGTCGGAAGAATAATCCCGGCTTACTTGGTCTGGTAGAAAGTTCGTCTGAATCTAACCCCGTATTGCCTTCTAAAGAGTCCCACGACAGTTTCCTTGGTCTGGTAGAAATTTCGTCTGAATCTAACCCTGTATTGCCTTCTAAAGAGTCCCACGACAGTTTCCTTTTACCAATTTGCACTGGTTCTAGATCATCCTCAAATTCATCTTCCTCCAACTGCTTAAGCTTCTTCTTCGCAGCTTCGAGCCCCTTCCTCGCACCCTCACTACCTCCATGGCCTGCGTACTCGATGCCCTTAGTATATGCATCAACGCTACCTCCAATGTCACCGAGGGCCAGTCTCGCAGTTGCTAAGCGAACCCACGCCTTTGCGTATTTCGGATCTGCAGCTACGGCAGCCTCGGCGTCAGCACATGCAGCCGCATATTTCTCCGAGCCAATATGAGCGGCTGCTCGGTTAGAAAGATAGACTGCAGCTCCGGGGGTGATAGTTAAAGCTTTTGTGTAAAGATCTATTGCTTTAGGATAATCTTTCTTCCCCATTGCGGCATTGCCCAGAGATTTCAGAGCCTCAGCATCATGGTTTTCGGCCTCTGTTGGTCCGGTGGTGGTGTCTCTGTAGGGCCGTATAGTCTTGGAATCAATCGGATGCGAAGAATTGGAATTCTTCGATTCCTGAACTGGCCGCCGTGTTAATAACGGCAAAGGTTCCGATAAGGGCCCGTTGACGGATGGTTCCTGTGGTGCAGGAATCGTAGTTGGCATGAAGTAGTGCGACTGAAGGCCTTTATGAGATGCAGTGTTGTAATCATTCTGGCTAGCAGACATGCTCATTGAAGCAAATGTTGATTGCATATTTTGTAGGCCAATATTGGGCCTACTCTCTGTTCCAAAAAGTCATATGCCGTTCATTTGAGGATTGGACCAGGAGGTGAACGTACTTTGTGTGAGCCATGTAGATGCAAGTGCGCCGCTTGCCGAAGGACGCCTTACAGGAGATGGCTGTAGCAATGCTTCTGCGAATTTTCCAGCATTCACCATTGTAGGTGGTATATTGAGCGGAACCTTTGATGGGTCTCGGCAGAAATTCCTCAGAGAAAGCAAGCTAGGAAATGGAACTGCACCCGTAATAACCCGGTATACGACACATCCGAGTGCCCACAGGTCGATTGCACTTGTATATTCCGAGGTTTCCGTATCCAGGTCCGGCACATAATAAAACAGCTCTGGTGCCATATATTGCTGAGTGCCTGCTTGCGTGCGGAAAGCCGTTTGATCTGTTCGCTGTTTGCTGAGTCCAAAGTCTCCAAGCTTTACCCACCATTGAGGCTGTTTTTGAACAACAAACACATTCTGAGGCTTCAAATCACGATGAGCAAACCCTTCTGTATGCATAATGTTCAGACCCTCTAATATCTGTCGTGTAACCACTTGAGTCTCCTCTTCCGATAAAGCAGGGCCTTCATGTGTAGGAGAGTTTTCGATTTCTTGTAGGTTTTGCTCGAGGTCACCGAGTGACATATACTCCATGGCCAAGAACATGGCACTGTCGTTTTGAAACCAGCCGAAGAAGTCGACGAAGACTGCGGCTTCCCTGTACTGAGTCAACAGTAAATAGGTCGGTTCTGGGGTCTGGATTTACAGACCTTAGGCTTCTTGAACTCAACCATTGCCATGAGCTCTCTTTGACAATCGGCGTTAGACATTGACAATCCTCTTTTTGGGATGATTTTTAGCGCCCTTGTTGTCTTCTTGTCAGAATCCAAGCACTGCAGGTGTACTTCCCCAAAGCCACCATGTCCGAGAACGCGTTCTGTTCTCCATACTTTGGTGACTGGGACCCTCCGCCAGCCTCGCGCAGCGTCTGAAATCTCATGGCTCTCAATGATACAATCTGGCCGGACAATGGCCTCCAGTCTGCAGTGATCAGAGTCTGAGGTGCGTGCCATAGTTGACGGAATGACACACCATTGTTGAGTTACGGCTAAAGGAACAGAGCAGAGGAAGCTTTGTACGACTTTACAGTATAGCGCAGGCGAACCCCTAGCTCAGCGCCATTGTACATTGCAAAAGTGCTGCAATTCCTTGGCGCATGCTGCGGAGCGGCTACTGTTCCTCTTTTTTGTTCAAACAGCTACAGAACATCAGATAAGGATCTAGAATCTATGATACTTATTTTAGTATATAACTGAGCTTTGTCTAATTCTTCTGATATAGATTTTATATAAAGAGAGTTATGATTAAATGAGTATACTTTTTATATATAAAATTTTATCTACTTGTTTTATAAGGATTAGATTTTTAAGACAGGAGAAAGGCTTAATTATAAGTCAACAGATCTATAATCACTGAATGATATAGATTTCTTATCATTCTGTTTGATATCTACAGGTTCAGTATGAACAATTCAAGCAGCAGCAGCTCCGCAACATGTGTTAAGGAATTATAACACTTTTGCAATGTACAATAATGTTTCCGCAATTTAATATGTTATAGCCTTGACAGAAAGAACATCAAAACTCTGAAATTTGTTACTTATTCAGTGACACAGGAGGTAAAATAGTAAGAGTTCCTGTACAAGAGAAGACATTATGTCTCCTTGATAACATTGTTTGACCCTCTTTTAAAAGTGTTCCCATTCGAATTTGGCTGTGTCATAGAACAAATATCTATAAATCCTTAACGTCTTGAATACGCCGTACCTAGCCGGAAACAAATTGGCCCGCCAAGTAACAGCGTCTGTCAGTGGTCTTGGCCGTCAAAGTGTTTAGAAGCACACAGTACTTATGATGCGGTTCAGCAGATTGATAGGCGAGGAAATCATAATACTTGCCTTCCTCTGACAGCTTACTTCAATTCTTCGATAACGAAGCAAATCCCATTAGATACTCCCGGGCACAAAGCTCTTCCCACAACATGGACTTCATGACATATTTACCTGACGGTCAAGCTGTTTGCGCTGCGCATCTCTTGATCGTTTGCGGCAAGTGTTGAGTCGACTTTACCGGTCCAATGTTCCAACGAGACAGCGAAGAAGAGGACAACGATGACCGCGTCTTCGTGCTCGGAGAAGGTGTAAACCGTTTCATGCCACAGTGGGATGAACAGATTCTCGGTCCTGCAAACAAATTTCGCATCAAGACAGACTACAACATGCCTCCGAAGCCAGAGGAACTACAAGTCGCGGCTCTGCTGGCCTGCTCTCAATGCGAACTGACCTGGCTTGTCGGCAAAGCGGGTCAGAGTGCTGGTGCCGGTCACCCATCCCACCATACCTTGTATCACGAGTACGCAGGAACAAGTCGATCGCTTGTTGTCCGTACCGATGGCGCCTGTATCAACAACGGCCAGCCACGTGCGGAAGCCGGCGTCGGTGTCTATTTCGCTCCCAACTCACGGTACAACGTCTCGAGCCCACTCGAAGATTCATGTGCCCCGACAAACCAACGGGCTGAGCTCCATGCCCTTCTTCGAGCCATGCTGGTGGTCCGCAAGGACATCGTCCCCACACGATCGATTCTCGTCAACCGCAACCGCGACAAAAAGCACTTCCGGCTTGTCCTCGTCACGGATTCAAGCTACGCCGTCGAATGTATGTGTAAGCACTGGAAAGGTTGGAAAGTGGTTGACGGACGGAAGGTGTTGAAGAACCAGAAGGGAAAGCACATCGCCAACTCAGACGTGCTTCTTGCTATCCAGGATGAGGTCGAAGAGCTCTCACGAGTCGGTGTGCAGGTCGCGTACTACCATGTGCGCCGGGAATTCAACAGAGAAGCTGACGCGCTCGCGAAGGCTGGTGTGTCTAGAGAAGTTGAGGTTGAGGGAAAGCCTTTGCATATTGGTGTCATGATGATCGACTGACAAAGCTTCTACGATTTGGTGGATGCCATTGCGAGATTTCGAGTTAGCAGATCGGATGCCCGCTAGACGACGAACATGGTGAAATTTCAACTGGCAAATGGGCGGGTTGTTGTCACAAAAGTGATGTGATGGATAGTTGCAACATCTCAGTTGCGGAGAATCGTGGACGTCGACGCTCCTTCTTCGGACACCATGCCTGTAACCAACTCGGTCTCTGCTCCTAGGTACTTTTCTTTATCGGCCGCTGCAGTTCTTCACAGATGGATCTCGTGATCACGCGAATGCAATAGTTCTCTATGGTGGCTAGAGCTTTTAGTAGTCGAACAGTACCCTAGCTCTGAATCAAGCGCTCTTGTTGGTAGGCAGCCGTTTCCATGCCCAGCTCCGTCTACGTCAACTACATAATGCACTGCTGCATCCCTTTCGATCAGCTCCCCTGTTCTAGGGAGACCACTTGTTCATTACACAAACCACCAATTACTAGTAATAATAAGAATTTAAAAGCAGGACTAAGTATAAGTGAAACCAGACCAAGTTCCCTCAGCGGTATCAGGATAAAAGGTGCAGCCTTAAGTATCCTTAAGTATTAACTAAGTTCTACCTTAAGGGGCCTAGATTCTAGGCTACTCCTAATATAAATAATAAAAAGCCTAGATTTATACTTTTAGGTTATTAGATTTTAATTTTTACCCTTTATTATCTATATTTACTTACGCTTTACATTATCTTAATTAAATATTATAGGATTAGTATTTAATATAGTAAACCTAGATATATAATAAGCTTTATAAGTAATAAATTCTTATTTAATTCTAGATATTTCTCAAGCTGTTTCCTAACGGACATTCCTAAGCTAAAGTAAAAGTCCTTTTTCAAAGGGTGGGAAGCTTTTGCTAAAACCATAAACAGACAACATCTTTATCGACTACACCGCCGTCCAGACCATTGCTGCGCAAGCTGTTATGATACGTTCAAGACCAGGGAGTTCCTTGAATCGCACCAAAGAACGAGACCGGCCTGTGAAGTACGAGAACCACTCTAACTTGAAAGAACGACGAAAGATTAGCTGAAGGAAGTGAGGAAGAAACGAACAGGATTGAGTTTGACAGAAAATTGGAAGCTCATATTCCGAATCATCCTTACCGATGTGCCGGAGGATAAATTACCAGAATCGCCCTACGTGGACAGAAATTCGCAGGAGGTGATCGGCCATTTCCTATCACATTTCAACCGGACTGCGTCGAGATAGCTTCTGTTACTGGTCCAAAGTCATCTGGGCCAATCTCTGTTGCTCAACAACAGCAGTTACGTATCCTTGACTCAGCCCTTCAAAACTCCAGGTCAGAGCTTATTCGAAGACTGACGCGCCGTGGTCCTGCCGATGATGATACGACGGAATAGACTCATCGCAGATTGAAAATCGAACTTCGCTTTTATAAACTTAGCTGGGCACGCCGCTCCAAGCTCGATGACAGCCCCGAGCTTGCCACATCTGACAACATTGGAAGAATCCACACAGCTGCTGGATGGCGGCGACACCAGAGGAGAACCAACTCCCGTAGAATTATTCCAAGGTACCTTCCACTCTTAACCCCACCATCACCACCAATCCAATGCATTCGCTGCCGGGCCCGGTGGGAATCCAAACTTTGATAATCTCGACTGGCTATCTTCTTTAATACTGGACCTGCCACAGCAGGCCCTAGGACAAAGTGACGTTCGGGTGCTGCTGCCCACCACTCTGCAGAACGAGATGATACGTGCTCAATAGTAGGCGTACGTACACGCACTCCCACCCTCACCGAGACATACCTCGAACACCATGTCAAAACATGCGTGCAACAGCTCTCGATACCCCGTGACAAGGCGTTTTAAAACCTACATCAGGCTTCAATACCTAGTTTGCACCGGTTCACAACGATCGGCCCACATCGATTGATCCCATCTCATGCACTCTCTTATCCGTTTCTTTTGCCTGCGGAAATCGCTCCTGGACGAGCGTATTCAGCTCCGAAGTGCACAAAGAATGGCATCCATGTGGTTGACCTAGGAATCTCACTAACGAGAAGGCCAGAATTTTAGCAGCATGAAAGCACAAGCTTGCAGAAAGGCCACAGGCTGCGAATGGCCCCGTTAGCCTCCCGGCTGTCCCTTTAGCCGGCTGGGTCAGGGCCTTAATGGTCTACACCAATTCTAAACAACGTGATGCCCTTTGAGCACGACGCGACCTACAGATTGCCACAAAAACAGAGGAAGTATTTTTGTTGTCACGGGCAGATTTCCAAACTCTCAAGTGGTGTATGCGCCATACGTCGGGCAGTTCATGTATCATTCTGGCATCATCGCATGCTACTATTCTCACGTTAAACGCTAGGCAAGCTCAGAAGCAGAAACCGTTTCGCTAAGCATTTCCGAAATGGGTTTTCAGATCGGACCACCCCCCACCTCCTCTTTTCGCTTCTCTTACACAGCCGGCGGGATATAAGCGGACCAAGCGCCATCACGAGCGTCGAGACTGCGGCGTTTGAAGAGCCTGCTAGGGCTTTGCACATTTGGGCAGAAGTTGGTTGGGGTGAAGCATTTGCCGCCACCACAGCAGGTTGACAGGCACACGCTGCCGGGGACGGGGCAGTCCCTGAAGGTACTGCAGTCGGTGAAATCGGAGCATGGGCCGGGAATGTTGCAGAATCCGGCTCCGAGTTCATCGGGCTGGCAGACGCAGTATTGAGCACCGGAACCGCATGGAGTAAAGCCGCACACTTCGACGTTGTTGCAGTTGCTCACGGGACGGCAGACTCCGCTTTGGCATTTGGTATCGGAGGGGCACTGGTGGGTAGGGGTTCGCTCGTTAGCGTTTTGTTTGACGAGGGGAGGTAAAATGACAAAGTATGGTATTACTCCTAAGGTGGGTGTTTCAGGAAGAAGTTGGTACAAACTTACCACATTGCCACAGGAACCACAGTTATTGTTGTCGGTGCTGGTCTCTGTGCACGCTCCCTTGCAGAGTTGTTGGGTAGGAGAAGTTTTCAGTGGACCGCATTCATAACAAGGCCCCTCTCCTTTGGCTGCAAGGGATGTGCATTGGGCGCCTGGATCGGGGAAATTGGCCGCACACCATTTGGCACAAACACTGTTCCCTTGTGCCGCGGCGGTACTGACTAATTATTTTGAAGGACAAATCAGTCTTGTGTTTAGACGGAGAGAGAGAGACACATGGCAACCAGAAGAAGAAAAGAGAAGGCGGCCTCCTCACCAGCAACAGCGAGCAGAGCAATGAGGATCAGTTTTGCCATACTGAATGTAAGCTATATGGATTGATTATACGAGTGTATGATTTATGGTTGAGTGGGGCGCATCATGAAATTGAAGGGAGAGAAGCCATCTTGGGATTCCACAGCAAGCGTTATTTATACTTGTATGGGAAGATGGGGTGACGCCTGCTCCAGCCAGCACGTGAACCATAGGACTGCATCTATAAGTCACCGTCGCGGTCACCAGACTGGCCTTGGGTGTACTTGTACGAGAGAATGCGCCTTTTCAATAGTTTCCTGCCCACAGCAATTGACTTCTCGTACGATGGGGCCTTAAAGATTCCCAAAGCAGACGACACAAAGCCTTGATGCCAACAATAGCGTCTCGTATGGCTTGTCATCGCACGCTGATAGGCCATCTGCGGTGAAGGTGGAGAGAAGGCGAGACTCGTGGCGATCGTATGTGCAGCTGAAATCCTAAAATTAGCCCTTCTAATTAACTCGCACCACATATCGGGTGGGAGTTAGAGAAGTCAAAATAAAGCTTCTAGCTAATGTATCTACTTTTTATAGCAAAAAATACTAGTCCCAATTAGGAAGGACACCCACTTGGATGTAATTCGGGCTCACAAGGGATAGCGCAAAGTCATTTGGCGGGGAAAATGTGAGACCTCGAACGCCTTGGTTCGCGATGGTTGCATTTGTTACTAATAGTTAGCTGGCCAACCCACAGTCCGGAGGTCATAGTGACACTATTGAACAGCCACGAGCAAGACGAAGCAGAAACTTGTGCATCAACTGCCGCAATCGATAGATGGCTCCTTAGACCGCCCAGTACTTCTCTCTATGGAAGTCTCTCCCCGGGGAGATGTAATCACGTGTGCACTTTAGCCGCCTGGCGCGCTTCCCTTGTTGGAATTTGTCTGTACGTACAGCCAAATCCTTGGCGGCGCTGCGTGTCACATGACCTGCGCACGTGCCACTCCGCACAATAGTAATAGAATTCAGTTCATTCACTTCATCAGGTTATCTCTTGTGACCCCGATTAATCCCTATCAAGAGCATTTCCAAGCTGGTCCTGGGCGGGATGAGCAGGGGCGGTACGGCCTCAATATCCAAACGAGATCTCAGACTATGAATTGGACTCTCAGTGCAACTACGTATGCACAGACGCCTTTGATACTAGTTTCTTGCTCGAGCTTGAAAAATGGCCAGCGAATATCGCCAAAGGCCTTTTGTGAATCGACCCCTGACCCGAACCTTGAAGCCAAACTTTCTCACCACCTCTTCTGCGAAGCCGATGTTGTGGAAGTCAGGTTTCAAAGCAGTCAGTTCGTCTCAGATTTGAGCGATGAAGATGGTCTTTTCTGCGTTTGTTCCTGCCACCCTGATGCACCACATGAAAGGGCATTAAATGGACCGCTACTTAAACACCCTCAAACCTCGCCGCTGTCTCTGTTCGAGGGTCCAGCTGGAGATGACGAGTTTTGGAGACTTTTGATGAGTTGTGGGACTGTGTTGTCTTGTTCAAAAGCAACTTGCCTTACGATTGCTATAAATTGCTGGCAATTGATTGGCATGGTGACACCGCTTATCGCATCGGAATTTTATCGATGCAGGAATCCATATTCAACGGCTTATCAAGAACAAGACGAACAGTTCGACTGGCTTAGATTCGGCAACTCATCTTATAGAGTCTCACAGAATCTCACTAAGTCTTACTGTTGTACGACTGGTGATTAATTAAATATGACACAGGTTGTTATCAGATGCGTTCACAAAGACTGGTTAAATCAAATTACCTAGAAAATCTCCTAAGTATTGCATCTGTATTCTCTTGCATCTTTCCGAAAAGAGGGATCTATTCTTGGTCGGTACTGAATAGTAAAGGGAAGCCTTGAGACACTTCACACTAACTACTCTTTAAGATGTCTTTCACAGCCAATAGTAAGGCGTTCCTCACAGTCCGGTAGTTGAGGGATCTGTTGGACTCTCATATTTACAGACATCTCGATGATCGGCGTACATGAGGTAAATCATCTCATTCTTGTATCCAAGAACATGCATATCCTGTCAGTGATACAGCCGCTGAGCTTGATCTTCCAGACGCACACTGTTGGCCAATACGCTGGGTTGAATCTATCCGTTAACTGCCGAGAACAGGATCGTCACACCGGAAGCTGCATCTCTGCCGGGGGATACCGACAGTCAAACAATCCATATCGCTTCGCCAGATATCACCTCAGATACATCCGTATCCCTCCAAATAATTGAAGAGAGAGCATTAAGAAGCCAAAGAAAAAGGGACGTGCCGCAGAACTGCAATAGTGACTAGCCTCTCTGGTCATAAATCAGCACTGCGAAGCATGTTGTTTGCTATAAAGGGTTTTGGGAAGTTGTACGATACAATGATGCGATCGAAGCAAATGAAAGCATGACTCATTCCTTACCGTTTCTTTGTGATGTTCGCCCCATGCATCTCGTGCCCCTAGTCTCCTGCTGCCCTTGCTTTGTGGAAAGATCCGTCTGTAAAGGGTGTGACACCCTTCCGTATCCTGACCTCGGCACTTTCAGCGGGAAACGGGAGTGTGCAACCAAACCGGGTATTTCATTTTAAGACCAGATCCTCTTTGGCCTCCGTATCAGGGTTTGGTGTTGACGCCCGTCTAGCCTCTTGGAACCCGGCTGTGGTTAGGTTGGGCGTGGCTAAAATTACCTTGGCCGCTGACCACTATAATGGGCAGGCACGCCTTTTCTGAGGCAGAACTTCGTTGCTTAATTGCACAACCTTCCATACAACAGAGGTTCAAAACGGGCTCCAACTACTAAATATAGCCCCTATCCGCAGCGCATCATTGCTGCCATTGCCCTCGCTGCGTCTCGAACTGAGTAGCCGAAGTCGGCAGCTGTTATTGACTTTTGAATGGATCTTCTAGACTGTTTATCACATCTCAGGTTTACAAGATCATTGCACATCGGTTTCCCAGCGGGCTAGATGGTATATCATTTTGTTTAGTGGGTGTCAATGCACATAATATAAGCTGCAATATGTATCGCAAGAAGAAGAATAATTGACATTCGCTCTACATCAATCTCCCATTGCATAACAGAACAGAGAATGCTACTACGCAACCAGACCAGGTGGTTTCAATTAATCTTTGTCCAAGTTGGGACTTACCTTGAATCGCACCTGGCGCCTCTCTTATGAACAGCTCTTCACCTTTTGAACCATTCTCTGGATTGAGCTCTGGAATAGAGGGGTCCGCTTCTGAATTCGTCTGTAAATCAGGGCGCTCCTCAGACACAGAAGTTGGAAGATTGTCCGTGTCGATGTCCCATTCCGGAATCAAAAGTATTGTGTTTGTGCCATCTGCAGTAACATCCTCAAAATACGTTTGGGGTGTTAGCATGCAGAAGCTTGTGTCGAACATGTGAATCCGTTTTCTCATGTACTTTATCGCTACCCGCCTGGCCTCCGATGGGTCGGAAGGATCAACCAGAGGCGTATGTGGAACCTTCCAAACGCCGCGATCACGGATCTTATATTTCATGCGAACACTTCGAAGGTCTGGTCCCTGGTCACTCGATTGTCTTGTAATCTGCAGATATGTAAGCTTGGCTATAAGTAAAAGAGAATTCAAGTCCTTACCTGCGGCTCAACAGCCTGAATCTGTTCTTCGGAGTTAGTGACATGATCTGGTATCTTACCTGAGCCAGATATTGAGTTGCTATTATTAGTTGCTGAAGAATCCGTGCCAGGCTGCGTACTGTGGATGGGATTTCCGACGACTTCTTGGTCTGCCGTGGTTTGAAGTTCGCCGTAGGTTGGGGTGATTGACCTTCTTGTGTAAGTTCTTGAAGCTCGGCGGCTCTAAGAGTTTCAAGTGTGAACTGAGTAATTGGCCTTTCCCTCCTTTTCGCACCCAAACCTTCACACCTTCGGCGACGTTTTTGAGGTAGTTGATGTCCTCGAAAAAGCTGAAGAGAGAAGGGATTAAGCGGTCAGCTGAGGCGGAGAGCACCCTGCTCCATATATCTCCGCGGTCTTGCTCGTTGAAAGCACCGAAGATCTAGCCGCTTCGCAGTTTACGATATAGAGCCTGGAAGTCCGCCTTGCAGGCTCCTGGCGCGGTGAGCTCTAAGACTTTCTCCATGGCTCGATCCACCTGCATTACCTCTCGGTCTTCTCGAAAGATCTTCTTGGTCCAGAAGTCCCTAATAGTATCATCGACATAGCAGAGATTTTCCTATTGAGTATGGGTTAGTACTTCGAACTGCTTATAGATATAGAGCTTACCTCTTGGCATCTCGTGGCAAACATTGTATGCGTCGTGCTCAACCTCATCCCCCTACCAGCCCTGGGACGTCCAATTGAACATCCAATGTGGCCCTGTAATCCGTATGGCGGAAGACCTGTTCAAGGTTCTCCATCTTATATAGAGGCCAAAGGAGCCCACCATCGTTTCTCGAAGTATGGAATCCCCGCTCCCCTGTATCCTTGATATTTGCGGATTTTGCTGTAGATCTCGCCATCGTCGGGCTCCTTTTCAGCCGAGTACTCTTCAATCAGGGTCTTCTCCAGTTCCTGGGTGAGATCTGACAGAAATGAAGTTATCGGCTTCTCTGCATTCGGGAAATAGAGATCATACCTTTGAGATACAGGTCTACCTTCCAGCGCCTATCATCTGGAGGAAGGATTAGCGCTGCCGCCAGCGTTCGGTGGCGTCTGTGCAGGCACTCTAGACTAACCGATAACCGGGCGGAAAATCTGGCTCCGGATAACCACCACGTGCATCCTCTAGGAGCCTCTCAGTGGAGATTTCAATAGCTTCTGTGACAGCCTCTAACTGCGGCTGGCTGTTGAAGGCAGGAATGTGATTTCGAAGGTCCAGTCGACGGCAACCACCCTCCCCGTGAAATAAATTTTTCAGTCTCTCAACATTATTCTTATCCGGCTCTCTTGATTCTTCGCACGGAAAATGAAGCGCGTCGAGCTTGATCCTGGCTGTACCTCTGTACTTGATGCTCCTCTCCGCCTCTTGTCTTCGCTCCTGTTCCAGGAATCGTGCGCGCCGCATCTCAAGATGGTTGATACGCAAGATCTTATTATTTCCTGGGAGGGTAGGGTACTTACCACTTATTACCTTTTAGCAGTCCATCTCTAATGGAAAATCTACTCCCTATCGGAGTTGACTTGCGATGCTAAGAATAGCAAAGTGGGAGCCCATTCTGGCTCTCGTCGATCTTCTGTCTTGGTCCTCGAACCGCCCCATAAGAGGTGTAAGTAGAAGGCTGCCCTCGGACTTGTTCTCTCCAACTAACGAGATCTTCAGGCTCCTCTCGCCATATTGCGCATACTCAGAATGACTTCTGACCCAAACAAACGCCATACGCAGCTCTTCTTTAACAAATTGAGGGGACGTGGGCTACATCCGCATTCTGGGAGTGACACGCAGCAGCCGGACGGCAACAGTGACCGCACAGCTGCTAGGCAGGACGCTGCGAAGTGGCAGGCTAGGGAGAGAGTGTCATCCTCAGAGAGCGATGCCATCGATCCCGAGACGGGTGCGGTGCGTCTCAGGCTGGTGGAAGCTGTCAACTCTGGGGTCAGAGCACAAGAATACATAATGACAAAAGAGGTGTCTCCATGGAGGAGCTACGAGAGGATCTATCAGCTGTGGCTCAGCGTCGGCGGTCGCGTCAACGTAGCAGAAGCGCAAAAGCCCCCCATTCGATATCGTCACAGTGAGAAGCTTCACGGGGCCGCGCATCGAGGACAAGCTTTATATGTTGCAACGGATCCAACTCCCAACTTCGTCTCAGCCTTCGACGCTTTTAAGTTTGAGCAATCGTTATACATCGTTTTCGAGCACATACCTATTTCTCTGCAGTATATCGCCGGCAATCTTACATTAATGAACTTCGCTTGGCTTCAACACTTGGACAGGTAAATGTCGATGGAGCAACAAACATAGAACCGGCGCTGACTGTAGCAGGTACTTGAGGGCCTTGCCTACCTCGCAACGAAAAGATTAGAGCATGGCTTGTTGACTTGTTCGAATATTCTCATTAATTCAGACGGGATTGTCAAAATCGGTTAGTAATGATCTCCGCCTTAGAGTGTATCTGTTAACTCAAAAATTATAGCGAACCAAGAATGCTGCCATACCCGCTCCCTAGGAAGCACTGAACCTCGCGATCTTAGAACCTTGGGCTTGATTACGATGGAATTAATGCAGAGCTATGCCAAGGAAGATGGAGCTATTGGTGTGGATGATCTGCATCGTTGGCCTCACGGCTCCGACGTATTCGGCTTCCTTTCGGAGACAACATCTGCTAGCTCGGTGGGCGAGTTGATGAAGGTAAGTTGAAGGCTCACGTTTTCACGTTATATTCTAATATTTTCTAGCACCCGCTAGTGTGGCTTCCCTAGCGAAAAGAAAAGCTCAAGGGCCTGGTGTCTCTCGCCAGCCTCTGGGCGCCCAGAGACTACAAGTATACACCAAGTTAGGTGGTTTTCATGGAAGCATAAAATGTCGTGAGGGTGATTGGGAGCCTTAGTAAGCTATGCGTCCGTGATAGTTATTAGATCAACGTAGTCGTTTACCATTTTCAACTAGATTTGCTATGGTTTGTCAAGTAGTGGGAGCCGTGAAGCTGGATTTTACAGCGTCCCTTCCCGGCCCCATGGGACGGTTTCAGGCTCCCCAGCTTTTGATTCCAGGGAGCCATTCTGCCTCACTCCTATTTTTGGTTTCAGGGGACCATTTCTAGCCCTCATCCAATTCGGACGCCCATCACAGCCAGCCCTCACAGTATAGATTCCCTCTCAGTCGTCTCAATCTCTCTGTGTTCTCCCCTCCCCCTCTTTCACTCACTTCTCATACGAATCCTATACTTGCTTTCTGATGGAGATCACCCTAGCGATTGGTATCGCCGTAGGCGGCATCCCTTGCACTTTCTAAGATATGCTACCGCATAAGGCAGTTCCTGGAAGCTTTCTTGCTCTGGACGAATAAGCGTTTTGTTTATCCGCTGCTTCACCGATACCTGGGTCCGTGGAGTCGAGCCAATGCTCATTTGCAATCCATCTACTTCGTGGTAACCATTTTCTGCCTTAGATATAAGGTGTCGTCTATATCAAAGGCTGGGCTGCGAGCTGCAAACCTCTCGTTGATTAACCTAGTCCGCCCTTTTCTGGCCCTTCTTTTAACGTTCTCGCAGGTCTCCTCGGCATTTCCCTGAGCACTTGCCGACAATTCCACCGCTCAGTAAGGGTAATGTCGTTCATCCTCCTTGTCTTTCCCGTGATCACAGTTGTGGCCAGTCAGACCACTTTCTCCCTACACGTACCGGAAAATCTATGGGGAGTAGTCGTTAGTTCTAATCAGTTCTACCGGGTGTCAGCTCTATCTAACACTGCGTAGGGAGGATCGTCGCTATGTCTTCACATGCTCTCCCCACCTCTTCTCCGCGCGCTCTCGTACAAAGACTTTATCCGTACGCATCAAGCATTGACAATGCTCGCTGCCTATTTGATTTGGCGACACTTGGTATCGACACTGCCCCTTTCCCGCGTATATATCTACATCTTTGCAGGAACATTCCTCTCAACCTTTCTCCTTCAGTGTGAATTTATTATCTGGCGAAAACAAAACCGTTGGCCGCGGTTTTCCTCAAGCTTCTATCAGCAACATGAACGGCATAGTTAAGATCCGCTTAACTTTATCTCGACCGTTAAAAGTCAAAGCTGGACAGCACATTGGGCTGTGGACCCCAGTGAGTTTTTGGTCTTTTTGGCAAAGCCATCCTTTCGTTGTGACGTCCTGGTCCGAGGGAGAGCAGAGCGCTTTGGATCTATTTATAGAGCCTCGCCAAGGCTTCACTCAAAAACTTCTGGAATACAGCAAGTTCAATCGGCCCCCCTGCTTAGCTCTGTTCAGTCGGCCACACGGTACCAGTGCACCGGTAGGCGAGTATGAGACCGCCCTCATGGTAGCGAGCGCCTTCGGCATAGCTGCGCAGCTATCTTACCTGAGGCAGCTAATATATGGGGTATAATGCCTGCAAGACGCGCACCCGCCTCGTTCATTTAGTTTGGCAGTTGGAGACCCTATGTAAGCTGGAATTAGGTCGGATCGTAAATTTAGGCTGACTGTGAATAGGCATTGGGATTGCAGTGGTGTCTTTACTCAACAACGCCCTAGCTGACGACACTTTAGATGAAGGTTTTGTCAGTTACTCCCTCACTTACGTTTTTTCATACAACTTCTAACTTGGATTAGATTCTCATCATCTCATTTTACATCCAATCGGGAAAGGCAGACCGGGTGCCTTTTGGTCAACGTGCTACAGTGTTAGTGGTACGGCCGATCTGACGACGATTCTTCGAGAAGAGGCGGAAGGGAAAGATATGAAAGGGTGCAAGAGGAGATGGAAGGGCGGGGAGGAATGCTGGTAATGGGTAAGTTTTCATCCCCAGTGAAAGTATTCATTCTTTTTTACTTTTTTAATTGATTTGCTGACCTGTTTTAGTGTCAGGAACCGACCAGCTACGCGATCAACTGCGAGATAAAGTACGGGGGTACCCAGATGATAAGGTAAGCCTGTGGGAGTTAGAATACCAGCCAGCGTAGCTGGAAAAGTAAGTTTGGTGAATTAGAATGTAAGTCAGTGTGATTGTGAGATCTCTTCACTTCTCTCAAGACTCCTCGTGTCCCAAGCGCTATCCTGTCCCCAGATGATTATCTTAGGAGCCCTATTCTCATAAGAGCCGTAAAATCTGAAGAGAAATGTCTTGAGAGAAATTTCTTAAGGCATCACAGGTCTTGAGATAAGATTCTTGAAATATTACAGCTCTTGAGAGAGCGTAGTTCCTACGAGAAACCTCTTAAGAACCGTGCTCTCTTCAGCGATTTTTCACATGACTCATGACCTCTAAAGAAATGTCTCCCATGATGTTTTCCTCAAGACCAAAGCGTTATGCACGTGATTCCCATCTCGAGTATTTGGTGCGCTGGGATATTGTTGCAATCCTAGGTTCGTACAGCATCGCGCACAGGTTGCTCGAGGGCGTTGATATATATTATATTCATTAACACGGTTATTTACCAAATGCAGCCACTTTGTTCACTATATTAAAAGAAGAAAATTATTGGGCCGCCGTGGCCCACAAGGAGATGCCAAGACTGCCAAGACCATTGAACGCATGTGCGAATTCTGCGACACGCAGGTCTTGACTTCTCCATTGTTCGATTCATTGAATATTGGGAGCGTATCTCTGTCGCCATCATTGTCAGTGATGTACGTCTGCGAGACGCAAGCTATTCGTATGCTAGATTATCACGTCGCTCAAACCCTGCGCGTCCTGACAAAAATTAATACTTTATCCCCTCCGTACCCGATGCCTCAATTAGTGACTGTAGCAGGTACTTGAGGGCCTTGCCTACCTCGCAACGAAAAGATTAGAGCATGGCTTGTTGACTTGTTCGAATATTCTCATTAATTCAGACGGGATTGTCAAAATCGGTTAGTAATGATCTCCGCCTTAGAGTGTATCTGTTAACTCAAAAATTATAGCGAACCAAGAATGCTGCCATACCCGCTCCCTAGGAAGCACTGAACCTCGCGATCTTAGAACCTTGGGCTTGATTACGATGGAATTAATGCAGAGCTATGCCAAGGAAGATGGAGCTATTGGTGTGGATGATCTGCATCGTTGGCCTCACGGCTCCGACGTATTCGGCTTCCTTTCGGAGACAACATCTGCTAGCTCGGTGGGCGAGTTGATGAAGGTAAGTTGAAGGCTCACGTTTTCACGTTATATTCTAATATTTTCTAGCACCCGCTAGTGTGGCTTCCCTAGCGAAAAGAAAAGCTCAAGGGCCTGGTGTCTCTCGCCAGCCTCTGGGCGCCCAGAGACTACAAGTATACACCAAGTTAGGTGGTTTTCATGGAAGCATAAAATGTCGTGAGGGTGATTGGGAGCCTTAGTAAGCTATGCGTCCGTGATAGTTATTAGATCAACGTAGTCGTTTACCATATATCTGGGCATACATCTCTATTTTGGCTTGTACTAATTAGCAGTACGCAGTGATTACTAGAGGATTCACAAACTCGGCTAATTTATGGGCCGAAATCGATTCTAATTAATCCATCAATTCTTCAGCTTAAACGCTGCCCCTGCGCAGCTAAATGCCCCCTGGTTCTATCGAATTGAGCGTGTTGCAGACCTTATTCGAATAGCCTGTCGAGATGCCTATGTACCGTCTTCTCATATCACAATTGATGAAGCAATGGTGGCCTTTGAGGGGCGTTCCAATCATACAGTTAAGCTTAAGAATAAGCCAATTTCTGACGGCTATAAGCTATAGTGCATTAGCGACCATGGCTATATCTAGAGCTGGTTATTCCATTTAAGAATAGATGGCGTTAAAACGTTTACGAAGAGTCAACAAACGCAATAGCCACAGCAACAGGGCACAGAAGCAAATTCAGATACTGAAAAAAGCGCTCTTCTTGCACTAACTTACGCGCTTGTTTTACGCCTTGCTACACAGCTGCTAAAGCAGAATTTCTGTATCTATCTGGATAACCTCTTTCTAAATGTACCAGTAGCTCAGTGCCTCCTAGCGATGGGTATTTACTGCATGGGAACTACACGAAAAAAGGCTGCTGATATGCCCTTACAACTTCAACGCTATCTTAACGATAATAGTGAGCTTCTCTGGGATTCTACAATAGCACAAGTCATTGATAACAATACCCTAGCCTTTATTTGGCAAGATAATAAGGCTGTTTATGCTCTTACAACTGCTTATAGCCTCTACTGTACAGAAGATCAAATTTAACGAACGCGCAGATGCCCTAAAATCTCCTCTGGAAATCAACGTATCCTTGACCCGGTATTCAAGGGCTTACCCTTTAAGGATCTCTTTATACTAAAGGCTATTGATGATTATAATCATTATATAAAGGGGGTAGATCAAGCTGATTAGCTACACGCAGCATTTACGTGCCATCGCAAGCAGAATTATCGTACACAATGGCCCTTAATCTACTTCCTTATCAATGTTGCGCGCGTTAATGCGTATTTGCTATGGCTATGGAGCTCTG